CTCTGCAGTGTAACTGCTACAGTGTTCTGTAGTTTTTCGTGAAGAATTGCGGAGCTCCGTTGACTTCATGTCTTGTGTGCGTGAGTGTGTGTTTGGCCTGGTTGTATGCCCATTTATTGGGTGCACTGTGAAGACAGGTGTGTCGTAGTGGTGTGCCTTCGTGTTTGATACTTGCAAGAACATGAATACAACTTGACCTGGAGTGCTGAAGCTCATAAGCCTGATGCTTTACGCAAGTGATAGCCGCGTGAAAAAATGGGTGAGAATTCGTAGTGTACAAGTTGTCAACTCAAATTTCAAGTGGGACGGGAATCATCAAGCGGTTTGAGTGTTTGTGACGCGTTATCTGATGAGAGACCTACACAACCTACACAACTCCAACACGCCTCATCAGATTAGCAGTTTCGAAACCGCCCCAACGTGGAATAACTCACAAGTCATGCATGTGTTGAAGGTGAGTTTACGTCACTCAAGGAGTTAGTGAAGAACCAATCCATCACGCAGTCCAGCGGCTCAGCGCTCAATACTAATCAAGTGGCTGTGAGGTCTAACCTCTTCCTAGGTGATCACAGGTCATTGTTCACAGTAACGACGAGACAGGTGAGCAGTAGTTCTTAACTCTTAAATTTAACCGGGAGATTTACACGCTAGCCAATCAGCAAACAGAAGGCAACGACTGAGCCAGCGCAGATCGAGTGAACGACCCGACCAGGCAAACACATCAGTGAGGACATCACAAATGGTGAATATGCAGCAAAGGATTCCCTAACCTGTCGGCGGCCAAGCGACACCACGAACTGCGCGCTAGATATGCCGATGCCTACTTTGGTCATTGCATAAATTGTTCAGCAGTGAACATGGTTTCTAGTGGCGGCAATGTGCTTGCCAAAACATCAAGAAAACTGCGAAAGGATTAGAGAAACAGGGAGATCCAAGCCCTGATTGCAGAAAGCGTTTTCCAACTTCGAACATTGTATTTCGGCACAGCGATCTGGAAACCGGAAGGAAATGCATCAACTTTGCAAATTTTGTGGATAATCAAGACTTGATCAGAATCTGGAAAACACATACGGACGGCATGGTCACCAACCCTGCAAGCAACACGGCATCTTGTGCGCTGTTTTTTGATATTTGTGTTGAACATCTGAAAATATGCGCTACAGCGACAAAATGACTTGACCTGTTAATAAGAAACAAATTGATGAGGTCTGCTAAGCGATGTGACCCATGAATTCCAACGAATAATGACAGTGACGATGGTCGCAAAGTGACCAAAATCCTCCCAGCTGTCTTTCGCAACAAACCATTCTCGGCATATTAGTCCGGTTGTTCTGGTCAAACCCTTTGTGTTCAAACGAAGAGGGAGGCTTTCGCTCCTAAATTGGTCTAGACCAATAGAATCACATGGGACAATCCACGGCAACAGTGTCGAATGATCACGAGAATTCCACAAATCACGAAAGTAACCCAAACGCTCCGTGACGACGGCGAACAATGCGACGCGTCTGAAATCAGGAAGAGTACTGCATGCCGAGTAATGAAACTGGTTGATCATTCCAGCTGCATTCATTCTCCAGCAGTGCGCACAGCGACCTCGTGAGCTATGACTACACAGGTGAGTAAATGAAACAAAGAGAGGTGCCCGAAAAAATGATTCAAACGTGTTGGTTGCTTTAGAGAGATATGGCTCTATTTACCCAAGTGCCGTGTGGGGTTCTTCAACTGACCTTGTTGGTGCTCTAGTTGTGACGTAATTAAGTTGATTATCAGAAGGAACCAGGCACTATCGAATGTTTGTATTACTAGAATGTAATGAATACAATGGCTAGGTGCACTTTATAAAAATAGATACGATGCGAAACGTGGAATAAGGCAAAAAGTGACTTATCGTTTGAGGACACTTGTTGAGAGTTCTTGAGGGAAGTTTCGGGACGCGGGATGTGTCTTCTCTGCAGTGTAACTGCTACAGTGTTCTGTAGTTTTTCGTGAAGAATTGCGGAGCTCCGTTGACTTCATGTCTTGTGTGCGTGAGTGTGTGTTTGGCCTGGTTGTATGCCCATTTATTGGGTGCACTGTGAAGACAGGTGTGTCGTAGTGGTGTGCCTTCGTGTTTGATACTTGCAAGAACATGAATACAACTTGACCTGGAGTGCTGAAGCTCATAAGCCTGATGCTTTACGCAAGTGATAGCCGCGTGAAAAAATGGGTGAGAATTCGTAGTGTACAAGTTGTCAACTCAAATTTCAAGTGGGACGGGAATCATCAAGCGGTTTGAGTGTTTGTGACGCGTTATCTGATGAGAGACCTACACAACCTACACAACTCCAACACGCCTCATCAGATTAGCAGTTTCGAAACCGCCCCAACGTGGAATAACTCACAAGTCATGCATGTGTTGAAGGTGAGTTTACGTCACTCAAGGAGTTAGTGAAGAACCAATCCATCACGCAGTCCAGCGGCTCAGCGCTCAATACTAATCAAGTGGCTGTGAGGTCTAACCTCTTCCTAGGTGATCACAGGTCATTGTTCACAGTAACGACGAGACAGGTGAGCAGCAGTTCTTAACTCTTATATTTAACCAGGAGATTTACACGCTAGCCAATCAGCAAACAGAAGGCAACGACTGAGCCAGCGCAGATCGAGTGAACGACCCGACCAGGCAAACACATCAGTGAGGACATCACAAATGGTGAATATGCAGCAAAGGATTCCCTAACCTGTCGGCGGCCAAGCGACACCACGAACTGCGCGCTAGATATGCCGATGCCTACTTTGGTCATTGCATAGATTGTTCAGCAGTGAACATGGTTTCCAGTGGCGGCAATGTGCTTGCCAAAACATCAAGAAAACTGCGAAAGGATTAGAGAAACAGGGAGATCCAAGCCCTGATTGCAGAAAGCGTTTTCCAACTTCGAACATTGTATTTCGGCACAGCGATCTGGAAACCGGAAGGAAATGCATCAACTTTGCAAATTTTGTGGATAATCAAGACTTGATCAGAATCTGGAAAACACATACGGACGGCATGGTCACCAACCCTGCAAGCAACACGGCATCTTGTGCGCTGTTTTTTGGTGTTTGTGTTGAACATTTGAAAATATGCGCTACAGCGACAAAATGACTTGACCTGTTAATAAGAAACAAATTGATGAAATGGCTACGTACACGTCGGACAGGCAACTTTATCTTTAAATCTGATCGACTTTTCTTCATGCTGGCGGGATTGCCCATTATTTTCTGAATGTCTGACCAGAAGATAAAACCTAGATCATTGCAAATATTGAACAAAATGCCCTTTACATGTGTTTCTATTTTTGTGTGCGCGTTTTCTACGCACTCAAGCGTGCACCCAAGATATCTCCACGATTATTGGCAAAGGCCCGCAAGTTATTTGCCAAAGTCGGCGGATACATCAAAGACCAACTGAGCGCTATTCTCTCCAATTTACCTCTTCAAAAGCGCGACAGATTTCCACTCAGCAGTTCTCCAAATAGTTGCTGGAAACGACATCGTTACCTCCGAAAACTTTGTCAGTTTCAAAACCACTAATTTTAACCTCCGATACTGGTCAATCGAGATTTGCAAAGAGAAACGAAAGAAATGGCAATCAATAATACACAAGTGCGTTAAAAATTTATTGCATCAGGCGAGATCTGACGACACCCAGTTTGCGTGTGCTGGGGTCATGGACGGAGGGCTTGACGCTCCCGCACAGAATCCTCACAACATAGGCGGAAGAAGTGAGTACGCTAGACCAGGGATTAGTGTTGCAAGCAGTCAAGGTGGTTTAATGCATCTTTGGGGGCCGACAGCTGGACATATAACCGCCGATGGAGCAGGAACGATAAGTCCGATTGGTTGCGTTCTCGAGAAGATTCACTCGGTATAAATGTAACTTGGTAATTCAAAACGAAGCCATTTGCCCTCCGAATTTCAGGCTTAGAATCCCCCCAAACACGTTGAACTTCGTGAAACCAACTGGTTTTCAAAAATTTAGGTATTTCATTATACTTTATAAAGTGATGCTACACTATTAACGGAAATCCCCAAGCACTCAGCTACGTACGCTTTCTTACCCAACATTACTGCAGGCTGGTCGGTCAAACAATTCGTAAATGCGAGACGTTTTAAGAACTTCATGAACTGCTAAAAGGGTTCCAAATGCAATGTGAGGCATTCTTTGTCAGCCATATCAAACTGCGGGTGACAAAGGAACGTGACACGGTCACATTAGCAATAGTTTCATCCAAGACTGTCTCGATGAATGGACTCAATAGAATGCACTCTCATTCAAGCATTGAGGACTGGTTAAATCAAAAGATGGAAACACGATGTGCTACCCGGAGATCCCCTATCGCTCAAATGAATTTTCTAGGGCACTGATCACCGTCGACCAGCAGCATCAGTTTATAAACCTCCCTTTGAATCATACCAAGCGCGCCCTTGTCACATTGCTCACGTGATGTAAATTCATGGAAATTCTTGGAAATTCTCATACTATAAAATGTATTCGGGAGAATAGCATTCCTCGTGTTTTCCGTGACTGACTTGAGAGGTACCGGTTACTCGCGGTCCTTCGAGATGGTTCAGTGGTTAGAGTGCGAATTTACTGACCGAAAAGTCCGTGGTTTGAACCCGACCTCCGCTTCTCGATTTCCCCTATCTAGGCTTGGGCAAAACCCTCGTAATTGCTTTGGGTGGCATGGCTGTTGGGCACGGAAAGGCTGTACGCACTTCCACACGTAAGTTCTGCTCTCTTCATATGCTGCATTTTGCATTCCAACAGGCCTAGTGTTAGCGTTCTTTTTGGGTCTAATATTTACGGGTTAGTTTCAAATGTTTCCAGGAATTTATTTACTACTTCAAATCCAAAAGGATTTACGTGAATTTTGAGCCACGCACACTTTATCTGATGAATTGATTTCGGGTTACTGGGACAAATAAGAACAAAATGGAAGAAATACCAGCATTCTCATATGGGGTTGGGTCGGCAGACACACCTTAAAAATCGTTATATTTTGGTAATTCTGTCCAATGGTGAATAGAGGACGTTGCAAAACAAGTTCAGAAGCACCTGCGTCCTCTGGTCCCCCATTGTCCTCTGGGTGCATCAGAATGTCAGACGTTCGCATATTGTCCATTACCTGACTGTTAGACGTGTTCAGTTTGTCGACAGACATACAGGCGTGGATTCTTGTTTCCCTCATACTGTGATTCTGACGAGAATTTCCCTTAAAGAAGAGATGATCCACAGCCCACACAAAATGCTGGATATTGGCCGTCTGAAAACAAAATCATGCGGTTTCCGGAGCCTGAGTAGTTCTCTGCAACGTATCTGTCCTACCAGTTGATTTGCCCTCAACCTTGAAAAGTAAACCACACAGGCAAGGGTTTCTCGAGGCCAATTGGTTAATGAGGCGTGTTTGGCTTTATTCATCCAGATACCGTGATATTGATGAACTTGATCGATAAACTCAGCTAACAGGCCTTCACTCCACCATAAGAAAACTTATAAAACACGCAACAAGAGCTGGTCGAGTTAGTCAGACACACGTCGAAATCCCTATTTCGATGAGTATCAACGGATTTTCTTTGACGGTGTTGTATATAGCTAGTTATGTGACCGCCGAAAATCATCGTGAGTTTACTCGTGATATCGTAAATTATGCAGTCCTCAAAATGTGCCAGCAAGCTGCGTGTTTTACAGCGAAATGCGCCGAGTTGCGTAGTGCGCATTCGGATATACGCAGCGGTGTCTTTTATTCACTTTACTTTGTGATTGCTTCCTCTTGCTGGCTGAAGGGACCGGCTGTGAGAACACCGAAACTTCTCAGCGGTAGAATTCGACTAAACGTAAACATTCCTGAGCCATTTGGAGTGACAAGCTCGCGAGCGTATCGGGATCATCCGCAAATCAGTTACCCTCAGTGCTTATCAAAAGTATCGTCCTACGATCAAGAAACTCTTTGAGTGCTTAGTAATACCCGATTACATTTTTTTAAGTGACATCAAAAACTTAGCTTAGCTTCGTGCTATTTATAATTCATTTGTCCTGACCTCTACCCAAAAGCGATCACGATCTCAATCCACGTTTTATCCGAATAAGTCTTTTGAACCCCGCATGATGATTGATTTAATATGTCGCATCATTTGCTCACATGTGAGTACAGCTGGAATTCTGAGTTTTCTACCACTTTAGAGGCAACACGCATGTTCGTGTCTAGATGGCGCAAACGTTCAGTGACATGTGATCAGACCCTTCCGAGTTTTCCGTTGGTTTAAGTATTTTAATCGCCGAATATCCATCTATCTAAGACTTACCATACAGATACATTTGCGTTTAAAATTGACAACGTAAAATTAACCGAAGTATCAGTTTGATCGTTTGGTGAATTCACGCGAAGCTGCTAACAGTTTACGAAATCAGTGAAGAACGACATTAAGACAGGAATATAGCTGTATTTGATATGCTTACTTACTTCATACTTTTTTCAGTTGGCAACTTGGGCAACCTGCTTTCCGAGTACGCTCCCTTGTGTAAGTCACTTTTGTTCTTCTGTAAGTCTACTAAACTTGGTTTATTTCCGCTGGCTTATGGAGCATGAACCGCGAAGTTCAACTCCCCTGCGAGCGCTGTACTAAGTCCTGAGCGAACGTGTCGAGGTATTGCTGAACTATCACTCCAGCCTTTTTTTCATTCTCGAGCCTCCATGAAAATCCATCTCCAGACTTACTGGAAAGCTCAGAAAAATAATTTTTGTTTGCATTGAAACTCCTTTATCAGACGCTTTGGATATACGGGCTATTCCTAAACCATCTTTATGCTATCTCAGTATTCACGGTCATGTTTTCATTGTCATTCTTCCTGATTTCGCGAATTTTACAACCGGTGAATCACTTTTGACGGGAGAGCACATCACTCATGAAGCCAGTGCACAGCGTAATATTTTGATGATAGGCGTGCGAGTCTACATCCCTCTGAAGATGCGTGAAACGTACACCGCTCATAAGGAAGAAACTTCGGCGCAGTTCTTCTCGGTCTTTCGTAAGCACAATCGCCCAGGTCTCTTTGGAACGCTGGAAATGTCGTATGCGTTCAAACGAATCATCGCTTACGTACTTACTGCTTTGAATATCATTAGACCTCAGTTGAAGAAATGTAGTGAAACTGTCATTCTTTTGTTCACCGCCGTTCTATTAACCAGCTGTTCAAAACTGGGCACCGTCAGTACACAGAACGGATGATGACAGTCCCAACGCTGATCAGCCGGACAACTCGAGTAATAAAACACATCCGGCAGTAACTCACAAGTGTTCGGTTTGCGGCAAATCCTTCCGTCATCTGTCATCAGCTAAGAGACACCAGGAGCTGCACGTTGAAAATGCCAATTCTCAGTGTAGTTTGTGCGAATGTTCGTTCCGGAATGACCGTTGTTTGCGGGAACACATGAGGCGACTTCATTTTCCGGTGGACAAAAAGCCTCCGAGAACATCCAGTAAACGAGTTCAAGAATCAGAGCTAAGGGGGAATCCATGTCCCAAATGCAGAAAGTGCTTTTCGACTTGGAAGATTCTGTCTCGGCATCTGAAATGGTCACATGGTGAGAAAGCACGTCAACAATGCGAGGAGTGTGGGGTGTTTTTCCACCGGAAATCAGATTTGGATCGTCATACAAGAACCTTGCATGGAAAGCAAGGCCACCACGTGTGTGAGCATTGCGGGCAAACCTGTTCTCGATTGGATAATCTCAGGAGACATGTTGCACAAATGCACACCAATCACCCGGATGACAAACGACTTATTAACGAGAAACAGACTGATTAATTATTACACGCACACACAAAATTTATCGTACGTTTGGACTGCCGGTGTGACTTCCTGTTTAAAGCCCATCGGAATTCTATCGTCCTGACACTAATTTGGTTTATTTCTTTTTCTTTGTGTGTACTTGTGAGCGGCAGTCCACATTGATTGGAAACTGTAAAAGATTCGATGAACGCTACTTCCGTTTTAATTTGCGAACAAGGCGGAACCCGCAGTATACGTGGGGTTGCGAGGGAAATCACGAGACGAGAATTGCGAGATTTTGAAATTTATCAATAAAACTCAGTAATAAGCTTGCAGGGAATTCCGTATTATTCGTGCCTGAAATTGCACCAGTCCGAAGGTTGCCCATAGGAAACGACGAATCTATCTGAGTTAGTGACAAACGTGCGCGCACAACGCGTTGTAACTCAAATAAATATTGGGTCCATCATTCATGCCGCTAAGCATCTTTCAAGCATGAGATTCGCATCACGTGGTCACGTGTTGATGTGCTCCTCGAATGACAAATTCTCAAATGAGGTGTCCGGTCATGTGAATGATATCATTTTTCTTCACCAATCATCGATTATTCGTATAGCTCGTGTGACAGGCCTTTAAAAAAGAGGTCCAGTGATGTGATTGACTTCATTCTCCGTGCAATTTACTGACCACTAATGCGGTGTTAGTTTAGCCACTGGGCAGGAAACGATGGTCACTGATGTGCAAGTTCGATCCTACGTATGCCCACACATGGCGGAGTAGGGTGTCTTACGAAGTCGTAAGTAATGTCGACCACTTTAAAAATACATGATATACGAGAATTATTTAGCACGCGTGCACAGAATCCAAAATTTATAAATTCCGGGACCGCCAGGCTTTGAATTCAAGACTGTTTCATGCGGGTGGAATGGCTTCATTGTTTCTCGAGTCCATCTACACCATGTACAAGCATGATCCTGTCGGAATTGAACCACGGAGCGTGCTCCAGAATCATGTTTCGAGGCTTCTGCTGTTTGTGATGTAGCTTTCATGGAAAAATTTGATCTTAAAATTCGCATTCATACACTGATTTCAAGCCAACTCGCATGCGTGCAATGCAGTTCTGAAGATTGTGGTAATCATTAATTTTGCAAGGATATTTTCCTCGAGACGTTGTTGAGAGTGACTGGAATTTTCCCACGGTACCCATTTTTCACATACGAGAATATGAAGGGCTAAAGCTGAAGTGTCAATGAACGTGCGAACCAGCTGCTCTATTGGTCTGTCTGTCGCGTACAAGCAGTCAGAAGAGTGACACTAAGAAAGCAGCGAGTGAGGAACAACCAATGAAATCTGTCTCTCAACGAAACCGGTTATTCCATTCGTAGTAATGTAGTCCCGTTACTTTCGGAGCTGGCTCTCCTAACAGATTCAAACATTAATTCTGCTCCTTGGAGTACCGTATATAGGCCAAACCTGTCTGTGTGTCAAGCCCGACTGGTCGGATGTGCTGTCGATTAGCTTCCACCAAATTTTTGGGATTCTCGTGACAAAGACTCGTATGTCATCTAACCCCTGAAGAACTCTCCTTGCACCAACAGCTTGTGTGTTGCCTGTACAGCCGGGCTGAACCAGTGAGAGTGGAATAACTAAAACCTTTCTCTTATCCTCCTGGGACCGACTGTTCCGGAAGCTCCAAGACATTCAAGGCATGCGACAAGGGCGCCCCTACTCCGATGAACATCCAGTTCTGTATCACACCTATTACTGATCAAATGGCTTGCCTCACAACGAAGATAATACATGTTCGATTATCTTTTCTTTTGGTCACCCTCACAGCACATTTTGCGGAACATCTCATCAGCTATTCCACAACACACTATGAAATCAGTGATCTTGATAGTAGGCTTTAAGTATTCGCGTTGCAAATCAGTGCAGTTCTCGGGCAACTGAGAGAATGGAATCTTTGGCCGCCTACGCGATAGAAAGCCATGTATTAGGCGTCCTGGTTGCGCAAGTCTTTCTTGGAACCCGATGGATTCCCAAACGCAATTCTATTCTGCAATTTAACCAAACATTTCATCCTGCATTCAAACCAGCACATTCACATTAGGCGACCGAAATCGAAGCACACCGCTGAATCTTCGACGTCGTGCGGAACAGCGTGCGGTCCCTTTAAGAGAATGTTGACCAGAGTTGAGGAATACGAATCACTAAATCATTCGACTAGTGTGTTCTCAGGAATTCGTGTTTGTCCTGATCTAACAAGATTTTCTTCTAAAGAAAACTGGCGAGTTGCAGCTCCACACACCACGTCAAACAGCGTTAAGGTGAATTTTTACCTGTGAGTGAAGTTTTAGCAATCTTTCCAAAAGGGCGTCAATACTCATCACTCTTTTGGCTTTCTCATGACTCTAGGTTCACAGGAGATGATTCCAAAGGGCACTACCGTAAAAGCTTGATTTATATGAAAGCCTTATTGTGAATAGAAGAATAACGGTGGATGGTCAGAGGACTTAGTGCTAGCTTACTACAGTAATTCTGAGGTGCCTACACCCCCAGACACATTCTGGCGATCTGGATAGAACCTGACACCACGATCGCAACCGACACCAGTTAGCCGGCTTATCTTGTAATGTAACAGACCAGGCGCATTGGAGATCACGCGGTCCCCATTCTCAAAGGCGATTATCACCGACAGCACCCGATTTTTTCGTCATCTTCTTCAAAACCATCTGCCGGACAAAACGTTCACTGAAACTCTGCTTCTGTCACTCCGAACGGGACACCAAAAATAACAGTCCGTTTGGAAAACGACATTTCAGAATACACGATACATGGCCTAGACAACGCAAGCTCTGGTGTTAGACACATCCATCAATGTAAGTTCCAATGGAAGAAGCCTGATAAACGCATCCTTTTAGCTTCAGGGATACACCACTCTGACGTCGTTCTGGGTTGGACACGGAAAACAACTCTGTATTCGGCAAACGATGGTTCAGCATACGCAACACGCGTCCCAACCAACATTGTGGATTCATGCATTGACCTCATCTGTCACACTACAATCAGAACTAATACGGATACCAAGATACGTAAAACGCTCCACAAATTGCACTAAGTGTGCCTGGATTTCAAGTGGCGCGTTTAATGACTGCACGCGCGCGAGCATGACATCACACTTTGCGGGTGCATAGTGCATGCGACGTAAAAAAAGTGACTTTTACTTCCACAAGACGAGGACGATTTGGTCTGCGAATTCCAGATCAACGAGGTTTACGTCATAGTTAATTTGAATACCGGAATTTTGAACGCCTTGTAGCGTTAATCCCACGACCTCATCAATCACGAAGTTAAATGGGAATGGAGAAAGCATGTACTCCTTTCGGACACCGCTTTGGAAATGATGGCTTTTGTAGGTCCCTCCGTAGACGCCCACACTCCGGAAGTCTGGGACTACAAAGCCGTTTATGTGTTCACGAAATTCGTGCCTACTCAGTGATGAGCACGCTTGTCAGACCGGCTAACAGACCGGTCGACCGATTCACGTGAGGCTTGGAAATCCAAGAATACTAGAGTTGTGGGTCGCTTATTCGTATTGCGGTGCTCTATCATCTGACGAAATATGAAGATTTGATTAACGCATCCCTTACCAAATGGTTCCCTAGTGGTAACCATATTCATTACAGGACATTTTTTATAAATGGGCACTATCATCGTCTCTCTTCCAACACCTCCGCTTTTGGCGTCCACCAGAATTCACTGCTTGCGTGCGTCTGGTGGTATCTTGCCACAGGCGAAATTCCAATCAATATCCAAAGAGGTGACAATCTCGTCTCAGAATGGGCCCGCGTCTGATGGCGGCGCATTTGGGAGAGACTCTAAAAGACGATTCTGGTAAAAATTCTTAACATCTGGATCTGCCATTCTCTCAGTTTCCAACCCATTTTTCCGCACCTTATGCGGCACTGGAAAGCAAAGCAAAAAGTGAATGCAGACGAGCGAATCTAGAAATGTGTTTCAAGACGACTAGTATTCAAGTATTAATCCGTGAAATCGTTAACTGATAACAAGGTGATCGGTTTGAGTCCTTGGCCGAGGAGGACGCCATGTGACCAACCGATTTCGGCTATTTTGGAAGATGTACTGCATAAAAGCAACCTGCGGTCGGCACTCAGCTGATGCAGTCGTTGTCCCCAGGTACCGAGTGCAGTCCATGTCTACTACCTAATTAGATCTCGAATGCCCTAAGCCTTCACACTTGTGGATTTACATCTCCGGGAACTACAAAGTTATCTGAGCTTTTGGCTTACCGCAACAGGGCATCATATGCGTCAGAGCTGTAGTTAGTTGGAGCGGAAGCAGACATGACGAACTAATATCGACCAGATTCCCCCTGTGAGAATCCTTCACCAAATTTGTCAGACGAACCGCGTAGAGACAATTCTCAGCGGGTATGCGATCAACCAAGAATCCTTCTGCCTCGATACAAACTCTGCACATAATGCCACAGCAGCTCCAGAATCACCAGACGTGCGAGGCCAGAAGCGAGTAGAGATTGATGGGGAGGTCAGCTCAACCATTGTGTTTGCAGTTTGAATTCTTGCTTGTGAGACACAGCACCCATCAATGCCAAGCGAGTCCAGTGCGAGTGCAAGAGCAGCTTGTTGTCCTGCTTGCTTCAGAGTGCGGTCATTGAACGCGGCCAGAAAGACCGGGTATCCGGGCTCCAATAATTACCTGGGGATACCTGAGGATGTCGGCACCAAGTGACGGACAGATGCTGCACGCGAAGCGGATGCATGACGAGTGGAGCCAACAGTACTTGGCCAACAAGATGATGGTTATTAATTGAGTGGTGACAGGAAGAAAGAACGCGGGCCTCAGTAGTAGCCTGTTTTTGCCTACCCCTTACCCGACCTGCTGTATGCCAAAATTAAGGTAACTCAAGTGATGGGAATACGCGACGGCCGGCGTGACATGAATTCATTTGCATCTTTGCAGTTCATGATCGTACGTGGCCTTGGACACTGTCATGGCGGCTTCATCCAGATACAACGACAAATATGGTCCTCAAGCAAAGCCTTTGCTCGCTTGTGTCAAAGATAACCTTAAACCATAAAAGCCTCATGGCATAATCGAATTCTGCACCTAGATACTATCGTTTATGAAAGAAGTTCGGGACGAAACGTGATGACGAACATGAGGTCAACTCCACTGAGCAACGTGAATCGCTCTCCACGGGGAACCGAAATGTACACCATCTGTTGCGTATCACATGCGCGTACGCAATGGAGTCCTATGCACTAAATATTCGCAACAATGTCTTAGATCTATCCTTGAAGACAAACTGTTGTAGGCAAATGGGGATCATTGCTAAAAGTCGCTGTCTGAGTGATGACATACCAGTGAACTGCGGAGAATGGTGCCCAAGCGAGGACCAACAAGTGTTATTTTTTATAAACTGAGAGACAACAAATAGATTAGTTTTATTCTATGTAAACGCGTTGCTCATACCTTCAAGTGTCGGTTCTTTCATGACCACAGTCGCTGAACTATTGAACATCTGCTCACTTTAAACCGCTGGAGAAAAGAGGTATCTTCATAGCGCTCAACCGGTGAACATTTAGGAGAGTTGCCGACAAAATCTTAGACTTGAGGGCTTCTTTCCCCAAATTGAAACGCATAAGGTGCCACGTATAAACTCAAGTTATGGATCCGTCACTGGGACTATATTTTCAGTCTCCATAAAAAAATAGACCTATAAATTAATGTTCTTTTCGTGGGGTTCACTTCTCGATGACGAAGAATGACAAATGGTGCTTTGAGCATCCTCGTCACCGGACTGCAAACACAGTCTACAGGTAGGTCACAACCTAAGTTCTGAAATATCAGCCCAACAGTCCAAACTACCCTGTGGGGAGATGCGTCGAGTCTATCTGCCCTCAAACTGGAACACGAAGCAATCAAATGCTATCTTTCACGCGCAAGTCCTAAACACTCGCGTTGCTGCATTCGGTGCTTCAAATGGTGTGCAGAAACACCAGCAGTTGGATTGCTCTCCGAATATGCAGCCGGGTGTGAAGGAATCGTAAAATCTTCTCACGACCTTGGATAGTTTTCGCATAAGTTTTCACGGATGTCCCGGAATTCTCTTCTAATTTGCCAACATTTGTGAAGGCCGATGTGCTTTCAGCAACCCAATAGTGCGTTGGATAAGGAACTATGCATCATGTGAATCGTTCCAGATGGCCCATGAGACGCACGTTAATAGGAATACTTTGCTTGGTGTAGTATGATAGAGAAGAATGGTGCACCTGTTGTGCTCTTGATGTTCGTGTGTTACCACACAGCGTGGGACTGAACTTACGCACAGTTTTATATCCCCGCCAGTAATATATCACACGGACATCTGATGGCTACATTTCCCTGGAGAAACTCGAAATAAACGATCTGTCATGAAAACCCTCAGCAAGATGAATGACGTTGAATTGATATGGCGATTAAGAACCATCGAATGAAAGGTAGGGTTTTTGTATCACATTCAGTTCGGGTTTTATTCTTCCTCCGTGAGCATTACGAGTCTCAGTGTCCTGTGTTTTCCAATGTGGGATGCATGTGGCTGCCGAGGAAGCCATCCAGGGGTACAATTGTTCTATTCCAGGATGTCCTGCTCCCCAGCGTTATTCACTCAGTCAAGATGAACAAGCGCACTCGAATGCATAACCTATACGTGTTTGCTCAACCCACATAATAAGGAATTCTACGTTATTATAAGCCCGGCTTTTGCTCAAGTGACTGCCGTGGAGAATTGGTCATCTTCGTCCACCTGCATCACGTAGGTAAATCGTTTCAAATTCTAAGCTGTCATTTTTCATAACGACAATGCCTAGCCTGTCGAACTGCTGGTGTTTTTCAAACTCTTTCGGGCGTTCGAGTCCAGTCCTTCTCTTGATCCCCAAATAAATTAGAGTGATGCGCCACGCACTGGTTCTCACTCCAGTTACTGGGTGTCACCCATACATTGATGTCAGTGGACAAATTTAGCAAGGCTGTTCAATTCGGGTTCCGGATCTTCTCAGTGTACTCTGGGATGTTTAGAGACTACCATAAAGTGCATGGTGCTCATGTGAATTCGCAGCTGTAATCGATGACCCAAAAGACAATTAGGCAGTCGAGGAGAACTCTTTAGACTTAGATAAACACACATTGTTCTTCATTTCTCCCACGGATCGCATGTTATGAAAAACCGTGATCAATAAACTGTCCTCACGCCCCAATACGACAGGACCATCGTAAACATACCCACAAAAAGGGACTTTACCACGCAACAAATAGTGTTATCCTTACACACGATAGACTCACTGAATTGCCCCGTGAATTTTATGTAGTTGGGACATCAAAGCCGATAATCTATTTCACCTCCTACCCCAAACCCAGGAGCTGGTTGTGGGAAAGCTAATCTAAATGAACTGCAGCCATTTCAAAGTACAGTTCGCATTGAGTTGCAGTATCACACACCTTGTCGAAAACTTCAAGATTATCCTTTCTCGCTCCATCCTATCGTCCTAATGAGGAGCGATAGGGCATCTAAGAAACATCCTTTTCAAACCGTTACTAATTTTTCCGTTGAGTACTATGCCTTTCTCAAAAGTTGTCTTCGGTGTCCACGGCATGATTACATCTAATTATTTCACTCACCGGTTAATTGATTGGGGGCACTCATTATACAACAAACAACACACAGTGTTCTTCATTCTTCTCACGGATCTCATGATGAGAAAAACCGTGACCAAAAACTCACATCACACGCCTCAATACAACATGACCATCGCAAACATAGCTAAAAAATGGTAGCAGTGGCTGGTCTCAATGGACCGACGGGAAAATGCGCACTTTCGAACTACTTTTGACTCTGCTGTATACAATGAATATTAAGGGTGGCCAAGAATGATTGTGAGTACTGCTCTTTTTTATTTGTTTCAGTGCCTTTACGACATAACAAGTAGTGTTATTCACGCGGCACACCATAGGCTCACTGTATTCCTTCGTGAATGTAATGTAATTGGGACCTCAATGCCGACAGTCTATTTCACCTCGACTCCCGACCTCACGAACTTGTTTTAGAGAAACAAGTATAAGTGAACTGTAATCGATTCACAGTGCAGTTCGCACTGAGTTGCAGTATCACACATTCGACCAAAAGCTTCAAGATTGTCCATACATTTGACATGATCTTTTACGTTTGTTCCAGGTTACGGGCTGAACAGCCTGGTTTCGGATTACGCCCCGTTGGATGAGTTATTATTTTTCGATTTCCGAAGATATATTAAATCATTGTTGGATATATTTTTCTACCAAATGATTGTGCCATATACATCTTCCCCCTCAGAACCCAGGGATTTTGCTATTCAACAATCTGCTCGAAACGATCCCGGAGATAATTAGATTAAGCCTGATCCCTAAAGCAGATTCTGGGTTCCGTTGAATGAGTTTTGAGTTGTTGCCAGTCAGTTCACATTCGCAACTGTACGAATACCGGAGAACTCTACCTACAAGTAGCCTGATAAGACGTCTTACAACGTCAAAATGATGAGGGATTTAAATTTTGTTGCAGAATCCAGTTTTGATATTCACACCATTGTTGGCGTGTTTTGTGTGCCACGCTGTCACGGTCGAATTATTTTTCGATAACAGCTTTTCAGTACAACGCCTTGCATGTGCGTGCCTTGGATAGTCCCAGGAAGGAATACAGGCCATCAAATTGATTAGTTAGCTCAGGCGGAAGAACAATGAATCATGGCTACTCTCCAGAAATAATCCAGAAATAATAGTATCACTTTCAACCGCTTGTACGCGACAGTGATCAATAGAGCATCTGGCTCGCACGTTTGTTGACGTTTCTAGCTGGCAAAACGCACTAGGCTATCAATCGGTTATCCAGACCGGGGTTCACGGTGATTAGAAGACATTAATGTGACCGTGGTTCACAACACTAACAGTTTGAGCTGATCTGTCTCTTATGAGTCCTTGCAGTTACAAGCTCATTGCACTTCGCCGTTAATTGAAAGTTCATTCTGCACTTTTATATTACTTGTGCCCTTACGTTGAATAGACAGGTTTCTCAAAAATGAGCGTCACTTGACACAGAAGTATTCAGATTCCAGAACCTCATTCATTGTCCAGCGAAACAAAAACAAACAGGTAGATCTTTCCTAAAACCATTGTGATAATTAGCGGTTTCGACTTTGTTCTACCAGACAAGTTGATTTGTACCAAATTGGTACGTGACACGTCTTCATACCACAAGACCATAAATAGATCGGTCAACGACGGTGGGTCAACGCAGATGCACTATTCTCTTCTCTTTTGATGGGCATTATCAAATTACATTTGACACTGAGGTGTACAGAGTGAACAGATCGACCAGGCAGCCACTAGTAATGGCTTCAGTTTATAGGGAATCCCGTTTAATTTTGTAGCTAGTGCGCATTCATTTGTGTAAAACAGTGTGCCGATGGGGTGTAGATTTTGGCGAGGTCATCTACTAGCGACCGGACCGGTGGTCAACGTTCATCTTCAAAATCAAAATACGCATCTGGTGTACAATAAAACCACATTACACTAGCACAGTAATGAATCTTGAAAACGCTGCTCGGGTCCTTGTTCCCGAGGCGTCACCCACATCGCTGGTTACTCCTAATACTGCGGGCAAATTAATTAAAATCTGGTTCTCAATTGCAATGACGCTTTGATTCGTTGAGACGTTATGTTGACTTCATCGGGACATGGTTATATTCAAGATCGATGACTTCCTATGCCTACCTGTGGACATCATGGGAACCTGCCAACCCACTGGGATTATTGACAAATTTTAAGCTGCATGAGAACAAACTTTGGCTGCGCCGACAACGCGCGCTCTCAAATATCCGCTTACAGCGGCCCTCCAAATGACTAGGAGATTTGTGAGGGATGATCCCCGAGGACAATCTAATGGTACTAATGACCGATATTCGAGGAAACTGGTTCGGCAGTGGGATGCTCGCACGTCTGTGCATCACCTAAACAAGCAAGGCTTGTGGATGATTGGTCTCTGAATGTCGACATATATGATGTGGTAATGAGAACTTTCACGGGTGGGGGAGGGAAATTTTCATCGAAGCCTGTCTACTTTATTGGTGCTTTTCAAAAATTATCGATCTGACACACGAATTCTCCTTGCCATATGAATCAATGACGTAGGTACAGTGAGCATCCCTGGGACCAGATTTGCTAACTGCAAACTACCACTGAAAGGAGGGAGGCCTCCACCGCGGAACTGTTTATTAGATAACGCCAAGTGAACATGTGCAGTCTATTGGACAGGGGAGCAACATTCTCATATGCATCTTCTTTGAGAAACTGTTTATACATCGTCTCCTTGAAAGCGTCTTCTCGAATGTTTCTGGATTTTCAATGACTGATGCTCGAATGCAAGCAAATGCGACACCACAAACTCCGCACTAGATTTCACTAAGCGTTGATTGCTCAAGGCTGGATTAGTTAACCCGACTTGAGGTAGTCGCGCTACCACATACAACGACATGCTCGGGTTACTCGTTGCAGCTAAATAATGCAGTGGGCTGCAACTGAAATCCAATTAGTCACAGGTTGAACAGGTGGAGGGTAACACAAGTACCAGATCGCTCATTGCAATTATTTTGGTGACGTTTGTAGTGCGATTTCGGATAGTCCTGCGACATTCAGTCAACAGAAATACAAACAAATTTTCTCGCGTGTCCACTTTCGATCCAATGTCCAATTCGCGCTCAGGCTCCATCGCCTTGAAGGATACCGAAATGCAGCTATATCTCGTAAAGTTTGAATGGTGATTTCGGTTGATACTCTCCAGTTGGCAATTCAAAGTCAAGAACGTCCGAGAACGCGTCATCATCCACTCAGGATGGATGTCACCAGGGACAGATTTTTAGTTGGCAGTCCACTTTTTTGAATGTTGACGCAATTGTATCCCACGTAGCAAATCCACATTCCGCGGTCCTGTCATGGGTGACTGTTCGTCACATCCATTTCATGACGATGTCTGCAACAGTCACCG